CTCGCCACACTACTCCCGACTTGGCCATTTTTGGGAGTGGAGCATCGCTGCACTCAATCCCGAAAGTAGTGTGTCTGTAGGAACTCGGGAGCTGTCAGGATTCAGATTCCGAGAGCTCTCCCGAAATCCACTTCTCCTCCAGCCTGCAAAAGTGTGATTTCAGGAGACCTCGGCCGGTGGGCTCGAGAACTCTTGAACCCTCCCGAAGCCTGAAACGGAAATTCGTGTAGGACAAGTTACTATCACTATCTTTTTCCATCCGAAGGCGCCTTCCGCCAACCTTACATTTCGAGAGTGGGGGGGTGGGGAGCAGAGTATGGCGAAGCACTCTCCCGAGTGGATTTTTGAGTCTTCTGACACTGGGGAGTGCTCCCGAAATTTTTCTACAAGTCGGGAGTAGTGTAACTCATCCCACTTGAATGGATTCGTATTCTTAAGAGGGGTCCTAAATTGGTGAGAAATGATTGGGTAGCTTTCATGACCCAACCCCAGGAAATTGGCATAATTCTGGACAACGAACAAAATGAAAGATTTCTTTTACATATATTTTCTTTATCCTCCAACAATATTGCAGTTTCGATAGGCCAAGGGGAAACAAGATGGGTGCAGGCTCAACACATCTTTAGGATAAGGGTCTTCAGGAGCAAGGACTCCTGGGTAGCATTCAAGCCGGACTGCCCAATCTCGGAACTCCCTCTTGACCCGGCTAATTGGGTATGGAGTTCAGAAAAAAAAAAAAAGGAAGTCAAAACAGATCATTCAAAAGGAATATTTATTCACTCAAAGTTAAATCAGCATATCGTATGCTGCGCCCCAGAATCAATCTGAAAGATAGAGTCTCTACTAGGTGGATGAAACATCTTAATATAAGTAAAGAGGAGCTAAGGTCGATACGTTGGTTCAAAACAGTCAAAGACAAACCAACAAAAATAGCTTCTCTCCAATGGCAAATTGAACATAGATGTCTTCCAACCAATGACTGGCTCATTGATAGATCCTCCTTAGAGCAAAAAGGATTAGCAGCAAGATGGTGTAAAATTTGTAAATCCGCTTTCCCAAGTAGAATATCTCCGGAGACCATAGAGCATATCTTTATGCAGTGTCCAGGTTCAGTCTGGCTGTGGAGGTGGTGGGATCGTATCTGGTCACATTTAGTCCCACAAGTCAAATGGCCATGGTCATGGAAGGTTATCCTTCTAGAAACTTGGAACCCGGACCCAAATTGGTAGAAGAAAATGAGGAATTTGTGGATAATCTGTTCCGAATAGGGAGAAGAGCGGTTATGTGGGCTATCTGGATGAGGAGGTGTACTTATGAATGGGAAGGAGCTAGGCTAGATGGCCCAGACTTCACAGACACTATTAAACAGCAAATTCAAACAGACATTTTGGTAAATTTTGGTAAAATGGGATCAAATAAAAGAAAAAGTACAATTTCTCTCAGATAAAACCGAAATTCAGCATCATTTTCAAGAATTCACAAGGAAATGGTTGGGCGGAAACCAGGGAAGGAGAATTGGGAGTGTGGTTTGGAATGGGGCAAAGAATGATGATAATGCTGGGCTCAAAAGGGACTACAATTTGGTTTTTGAAGATTGGACTTCTTGGGAGGCTTCAGTACCTTTGCGCCCATTGTCAGATTTCCCTGATCCTTTCCCACCCCCAGCATCTGCTTTAGTTCCAAGTTCTTGGTATGGTATATAGGAAATATTAGTTCTGCACGTTAGACCAGAACAGTAGCTGGCTAATTCAGCCTCCATGCGATTCATCACTTTTATCAAGAGCATTTATTCAAATTAGTACTAGATCTAAGACGAAGAATCTGGCGCCACTCAGATGAGGGTGAAGAGGTACAGGGGACGCTGGGCCCGTTTCCCAGCATCTTTGGTTTCAATCATTCATCATTATATGTCAAGGGACGCTGGACCCGCTTTCCAGCAATTCTAAAAACAAAAGGATGGTCTGCATAACCACAACCAGTCCTGCTGAAAAAAAAAAAAAAAAAAGTGTGGCGAGGCGAGACCCTGTGTCAGACTGTTTCGTCCGTCTTTGGGCCTCGTCAAACCACTCCGGAAAGATAGACAGAAGATTTTTACAGAGAAGTTGGGGGGGCTTGCTGAACTACTCTCCACAGACATAGAGACAAAAACAATGGCGGTGTATCTTCCCATATTCAATGGGAAAATTCATTCTCGTTTTGCGAGCGAGGCCCTGGGACTAGCACACTAAACCTGGGACAGTGCTGCGAGACCCGTTTTGGGCATTTTAAAAATGGTGTCTGCTTTTTTTCAGATTCAAAATACTCACTTTCTTCCAGATAAAGAAAGCAATATTCAGCCTAGGGTGCTCCTGTCAGCCAATGGGATGGGAGCCATGATGCTCAGCCAAATTCATCGCCTGTTTTTCTGGAGGCACGCTGGACTCGGTCAATGGTGAAACGGTATTCACCAGTTCGAAGTAGCTGATGTAGGACCCAGGGTTCGATCCCTAGTTCCCCAACTTACCTGTGWATAATATCTGTGACAACTTGAAGAATTGAACCTGCGACCTGTAGAACCGCCAGTGGTAAGTAGGTCTGTCGTAGGTCTTTAGGTAGCCAGGATTTKATCCATAGACCTGTAGAGTAGAAGTCCAGCTGCAGTCCTTCTAGAAGGTTGGCAAGTGGTCAAGTGGTGTGACTAAAGCAAGCCCATGTTGGAGACGAGGACAAGTGGCAAGG